TGTACTTAGGAACGGTTCTAAACAAAAGAGAATGGTTTCAAGCCAAGCCTCAGCAGGAGACGAGAGGTGGGTTGGGTATGAGATGATGACCTCTTTCAAAAATGTAGGATGGGGTATGAGTTGAAGATTCAATTGACTCACCCATCTCGGTACCCCTTCCCTCATGGAGCTCAGATCAAAAAACTGTATGTTCTCGGCTAAGAAACGTTAATGAGCGCAACTATGGGCTAACCTCCTTAAGTTGAAATTGTGTTGGAAAAAAGCGGAGGTGTCTGATCTACATTATTGCCTCCAATTTTTGTAAAGACATTCGCAGTACGATGCCAGTACATATCGAAATCACAGTTATGAAGTACCCACTTCACCCCACATCACCCAATTCACTCTGCAGTATTCACTCTACTCCGGCAACCTACCCACCAACTTACATATAGGGAGGAAGTGTGAAGTAGAGCTATGTTTTCCATATCACTTCCTTTATCGTAATCATGAATTTCTCGGACGGACAGACACACAAACCGACATACCGACACACCTACATACCGAAAAACCGACACACCAAGTTTCTGCTTCATAAGTGAGAGAGATTCTGCGGGTAAAGACAAAAGATATGACCGGAAAAGCTTCGCCTAATACTTTTGAGCGCTTTTGTAAGACTTTACAATTGAAGCTTCGTGTAGACACTCTGCGCTTACACGCTTATCACGATTTTTGCGTTAAATTTCATTAAACAACATAGTGGCCAAAGAGATCGTCGATGAGTATGCTATCAAATGCCTACTTCGACGTGTGCGGATAAATGATACGAGGCAAATAAATTATTTTTTCATCTCTGTTGAAGTACACATATTCCACAATGGTAGGGGAGTAAATAAGAAAGCGAATGATTACAAGACCCTTTCTCGATTTTTTGTATGTCTCGCTTAATCCTACATATATAATCGGGTGTGTCTGTTGGTGTGTTTGTTGTGTGTTTGTCTGACCGGAAATTCATAACTCCTGTCCCTCTGAACCT